CCTAAGTTGTGTGAGGTTTGCAAGTGATGATGGGATTTGTCCGCTTAGATTGTTAGAATTGAGGTCTAGTTCAGTAAGTTGGGATAGGTTCCCTATGAAGGCTGGAATGGGACCAAAAAACTGATTATTGTAAAGGTTGAGTGACTGAAGTTGTGTGAGGTTTGCAAGTGATGTTGGGATTTGGCCGTTAAAATTGTTTAAATAGAGGCGTAGCCAAGTAAGTTGAGATAAGTTTCCTATGGAAGCTGGAATGGAACCTTCCAAGTTGCGGCCAAGACTTAGAGATTGTAATGACTTTAGATCTCCTATAGACTCTAGCAATCGCCTTCCGCAATCCATGACATTTAAATACAATTCTTGGAGAGGACTGCTCCAGTTGGAACTTGGAAGATCAATGGTGAGGTTTCCCTCTCCACCTAAATAAAAAAACTTGAGATTTGGAAAGCGGAAAATACTGTTTGGAAAGTTTCCTCTTAACCCAGTCTCCCAACCCCAACCCCAAAGATTAAGAGTAGTCAAAGAAGAAGAGAGATTCATGAAGAAACGAGGATTAACAGATGTCATGTTCACTCCTTCAAGCACAAGTTCTCTCACCTCACTCAAGTTGTGAACAAGATTTCTAAAGGTAGTTGTTTCAAGGATCAATTCAGGAGGATCATCATAAAGGTAACCAGAGAGATTGAGAGAAACTAACTTGGGGAGGTGAGCAATTTCTCCAGGAACATGACTCGAAAATCGAGAATAAGAGATATCAAGATGCTTTAGTCTAGTAAATTGACTGATTTCTGGTGGAATCTTGGAAAGCCTAAAATCATTCAAGGCAAGATTGAGGCTCTGTAGGTTTCTGAGGAAGAAAAGAGTGCTGTTGGAAGGAAAGGTGCCATCAAGGAAACTGCAGCTGAGATTAAGGGCAATTACATGACCTGTGACATTATCACAGCTGACCCCATCCCAGGAACAACAGTCTATACCTTCCTTCCATGACTCAATCTTAGAATAATTAGGTTTAGTATAAAAATTATCCACACAATAATCTGGATCATATGGATAAGGAATAGTGTAATTGATGGAAAAGGATGTCTTGAATTGCAGCAAAGCAAGAGCCTCTTCATGAGAGCAGAGATGTGTTGTTGAGAAGGAAGAAGCATGTATAGAGGATGAGAAGGCAGTTTTAAGACAGAGGAAGAAAAAAAGGAGGCAGAGTGGTTTAGAGAGCATTGTGATGATTCCCAAATCTTTGTTTTGCGTAATAGAGAACTCTAGAAGGGTATATATATAGTGTTTCAAATTGAGATATACTAATAATTAAATATTTTATTTTTATTTTTATTTTTTAAAAAAATGAAGAATTTGAGAAAATGTGAAATTTTTTTAAGTAATTAATAAAAGTCAAAATTTCAATTAATTAAACTAAAATTTTTAGATTTAGTGATAAATTATTAGGTTTGTTAGGCTGCTTCATATACTAATAATTTAATATATTCCATCAAAACGAAAATAAATGAATATAGAAGGTAATATTGATGCATGGTGGATGTCATTTTCGAACCTACTTCTTCGATTTCTCTCCTATTTTCTACTATGAAATTAAACATAGTAATTAATGATCACAATCAAACTATTAATATGATTTCAACTAGTAACTTAAATCTCGGTAAGAAATTTTTGTCTTTATCATAATGTGATGCAAAAAAATATTTTTTTAATTAAAAATCAGAATTACTAATTTAAAAAAATTATTTATTTACATTTCTTAATACATATACGTATATGTAACAAATTTTAGTAGATAAATATTAATATTAAAAGATTATTTAATGCAATTTACAATCATTGCCCTCTGAATGGGGTGAAAGAGCATAAACTATAGCTACTTACTGCAATTCTCATTTTTTATCGTTTTCGAATGAATTTGAATAATTAATAAAAAGGTCCGAGAATGCATTCTATGTATCAAAGAAAGAAAAGATTATAAATAATTTTTTTTTGATAAATCAAGATTTAGATTTCTATCGTCATTATTATTTTAATTTGAACCAAGTTATGGGTCATAAACAGAAAACTAACTAATTTTTCATTAATGTCTTTAATCAATCAAGTGAAAAAACATATTCATTTTCAAAATCCGTAATTTTATTTAAACACCAAAGTTTGAGACAAGTTGAAAATTAAGACCAGGCATAAGTCTTTGGCTCTTTACAAATGCAACTGCTAAGAAAATAACCTTCTTCTGATATTTTTTTTTACACATTATTCTGATTTAATATAATTGATTAGACAAAAGTTCTCACACATAATTAAAGAAAAACCTAATTAAGTCTTAGTCATGGCATTATAATCTTAATTCAAAATTCAAAAATTTACTCTATTAATTATTGATACTTAAATTTGAAAATTGATTATATATTTTAATATAATCACTTTTTAAATTTAAATATTAATATTTAATAAGATAGATTTTTAAATTTTAAATTAGATTTTAATTAAATGCAATAACATCATTTAAAGTTAGGATTCCAATTTTTATTTGGGCTTTAAATTGATATGCACTATTCTAATATATATGGGAAAAATACATATCAATTCCAACCCTAAAATAAATTAGAGTCTTAACATTATATTACCTCATTTTATTTAATTAAAATTTAATTAAAAATTTAAAAATCTATGGTTAATAGTTGCTTTTGGAAACAAATATCATTGTGAATGCATAATTAATTTTTAAATATAAATATCAATATTTAAGAAAATAAATTTCTAAATTTTTAATTCAGTTCTTGTTTTATTGCAATTCTCATTCTTATTCTAAATTTATACTTGCTAAAAAACTTTAAAAATAAAAACTTAATTGTAGATATATGATTTATAAAAAACTAGTTGCTGGTTATGATATTTTTTTCTCAAGCTGTTATTTCAATGCTGTGTTGTTCTTCTTTTGGCTTTTTAATATTTCCATTATGATCCTTTTTTTTTTTCTAAATTTGAACAAGGCCAAGGATCTATGTATCAAAGAAAGAAAATATTATAAATAAAAGTCTTCGCTAATTCGGATCCATGCTATCATTATTGATTCTTCAAACAAGAGATAAATTCATGAAGGTATAAGGATCATCAACAAAAGACATGGTCATTTGATCAAGAAAAAAGCTGTCTCATCTTGGTTAGATTTTGAACAAGTCCTTTCAAAGTATGTACTTTAAGCTTTATCCCATAATTAGAGGGAAGATTAAGTGAAACCAACCTGTATTCGAGTAGGAAATTTCGCAAAAGACTTACCAAGAGAAATCTAAATGAAAAAGATTAAGATAACTAAATTAAACTTGCAAATTGACCCTTAAAGTCAATATGATTTATTAATTTTATAGGGTAACATTTAAAGCTAAAGGCAAAACTAATTTTTGAGGTAGCAGTGATGATGCAATTGAATGGATTGTGATGAGTTTCCCGCTAGACCTCGGTGTAAGGAATTTTCCTCATAAAAATGTAATTGAGGAACCATACGCAATTATCAAGAAATTAAGAAAAAGATTCCTACCCACCCATTACATGTGGATCTTTCTATGCTACTTTTCTAATTTGAAATTTCTACAATTGCCTCATTTGTGGACTGCTATTTTGTCCGAAAATTGATTCCTACTTTGAGTTGAAATTTCTTCCACTTTTATATTACATATTGGCATATACATACATCATATTAATTGCATGTCAATTTCCACATTTACTTGACAAATGTAGTCAAGAAAGAAAATGTAATCAAGGAAACTTATGAGCAACTGCAGGGAAGTAATGACCGGAGAGGATTGAAAAACTTATGTTACTTTTAGCTTCTTTATAAAAGGTCCAACGTCAATTTTGCTACTTTTTAGAACAAATAATTTTTCACCAAATGTATTTCTCTTTCTCCAAACTTTGGTTTCCACTTCTTGTCCCCTCAGAAATATATAATATGGTAAACATCATTTTTTTTTACTTTTTGAAACAAATAATTTTCCACCAAATGTATTTCTCTTTCTCTAAACTTTGGTTTCCACTTCTTGCCCCCTCGGAAATATATGGTAAGTTAACTATCTTTATTCTTTTTCAATTTCTATTGAAGTAAAAAAAAAAAAAGGTTTATTAAAAACTCTTGAAGATTTCGATTTGTTAAAATTCAATAAGGTTTTCTAGTACAAGTAAAATGAAGGGACTGAGAAATTGATGGAGGGTCATGGGATTGAAAATGACAAAATTTCATTTTTCAGATGTTCACACCAGTATGGTGCCGCCGCAGCAAGGACATAGCAAATTCTTTTTATTGCCAAAAAAACAACAAAATGTACTTTCACCTTTTACCATAGTCTCTTCTTAAGGAATTGTAGAACAAGACAGAATTACAAAGTACAAAGAGAAAACCTAGTAATTTTATAAACTAGTAAAGAGAACACTACAACAAAGAGACAGTAGCCATGCAAAACGAAAACATTGTATCAAAAAGAGTAATTTTATTTTTCAAGTAACACGAATCTAGAAGGTCTAAAACATCAACTCTGCAATTGTAAAGAAAAAAAAAATCCTATTTCAAGTACCAATAATCTCTCAATGATCTCAAATTTTCTTAAGAATTGAGTAGGTGTTTAAGGGAAAAGATATGGAAAGAGAATTGAAACTTAGAATACCTACTTGGCTAAGTTGAATTGTGCTGGGGAATTCAGCAATCATGTAGAATAGTTAAATTTTTGAAGACATAATAAAATTGAGATAATATACATCCACCGTGAAGGAAAATAAAATTAATCAATATGTAAAGTAAAATATTTCTTTAAGGAGAAAGATGGAGTTTAAGAATTTCCTATATCACATTTATACAACCTAGGCAAAATGGATCCAATCATACATAGCTTATATAAAGAATCAAAATAATGCTAGCAAACAAAATAATTCTTATTGGTGTAGTATCAAGATAAGTATCGAGATTGTTGTTGTAGAGTCCACCCATGCATTCTAAATACCCAATTAAGATAGTTTAAGTTTATAATTATGCTAAAAATAATTAACCCACAAAGAATGCTAAAATAAAAAATGCATTTATATAGAGGTAAACATTGGAACGTTATGATATTTGACTTGTCATGAAGAGTACTAAAAGAGGTAAATTATAAAAATGATGCTCATTAGTGAATAATCAACCCAGTGAGTAATAATTATACAAAATTGAAAAATTATATAGTCCATAATGCATCAATAAGTTATCTCTCCATTCCAAATTGGATTCAATAAAGTAATAACAAATAGATGTAAATATTTTCTTGCACAACTGTCACTTTAAGTATTCCAAATGGCTCCCACATTGCTGAGATCTACAATAAACAAAGAAAGAAAAGCAATATCAATGTTACTATTGGGTCAACAATTCTGAAGAAACAGGGTTTCATTGGGAAAGAGAAATTTTACAGAGCAAACAACAAGATATCGCTTACCAAAATAGAACGAGGATGATCATTAGAATATCAACAAATACAGATCTAAACAGAAACTATGTTAGAAAATCTAAAAGAAGAATTCTTCTTTGATAAAAAATAATTAACCTGCAGCCAATTGACGCAAAACCTGAGTGCTCCTCGTCTCTAACCAATTTCATGAACTTACTCCACTTAAAGTTGCCAAAAGACCCGATTAAGTCTTGGTCATGGTGCTAATGAGTGAAGTCCCTTTTTTTTTTTTTTTAGGAAAAGTCCAGTTACTTTTTATTTCAAATAATGTCTCATAAAGGGGAATACAACTACATTGGGCATACCTAGGCAAACTTCAAGTTATAAAAAGATATTTTCACCTCAATCCTAAATAAAGATACATGGTAACGACTTAGAATTAGGAATGATGTCAAAATAGATGCGTCCAAGAAAAGGAGATAGATCCATTAAGGAGGAAGGATCATCAACATAAGACAGTTATTTGATCAAGAAAAAGTTGTCACACCTGGGTTAGGTTTGGAACAAGTACTTTTAATGTATGTGCTTTAAGCTCGAGCTCATAATTGGAGGGGAGATCAAGTGAAGGTAGCCTGTGTTCAAGTGAGAGATTTTGGAAGGGACTTACCAAGAGAAATCTAAATAATTAAGAGAGAGCTTAAAATAACAAAGTTAGCTTTGTAAGTTGACTCTTCAAAAGAATATGGTTTATTAATTTCATACAATGACATGTAAAGCTAAAAGCAAAATTAATTTGTGAGATAGCTGTGAGGAAGCAGTTGAATTGATTGTGATTAGTTTACTAATCAGATCCAGGTGCAAGGAATTTTCTTCATAAAAATTTAATTGAGAAACCATAAGCAATTGTAAAGAACTTAGGAATGAGATTCCTATCCATCCATTAAATGTGGATCTTTCCATGCTACTATCCAAGTTTGAAATTTCTACAATGATCTCATTCATGGATTGCTATTTTGTCTAGAAATTGCTTTTTATTTTGAAAATTATTGCACTATTATATTACATATTGGCAAATACATGCATCATATTATTGCATGTCAATTTCCACATTCACTTGACAAATGTGATCAAGAAAGAAAACGTAACCAAGGAAACTTGCAAGCAATTGCATGGAATTGATGGACAGACAGGATTGAAAAACTATTGAGTTATTTTGGCCTTTTTTTTTTTTTCCTTTGTATTTAAGGTTAGGGTGTCCCAGGATAGCTTTTGTGCATTTTGAGACTAATTTTTTCTTGAGTAATTTATGGGTGCATCTCTCACATTAAATTGGTGCATTCAAAGAGATTAAATTTTTTGGATGTGGACCTAATACTTGAACCCTAAACTTGATCTATAAGATGACACTTGCTTATCAATGGATCTACTCCTTGGAGTTTTTTCTTTATAAAAGGTCCAACATCGATTTTTCTACTTTTTGAAACAATTAATTTTCCACCAAATGTATTTCTTCTCTAAACCTTTTGGATTCCACTTCTTGCCCCATTGGAAATATAAGATAAATTACTTTCAATTTGTTAGAATCCAACCGGGTTTTTTAAGTAAAGATAAAAAGAAGGGATTGAGGAATTGATGAAAGATCTTGGGATTAGAAATGGCAAAACTGCATTTTCCAGATGTTCACATAGGTGTCGTAGCACCGCAACAAGGACAACAATTTTTTTTTAGGTAAGTGATATAAGAATAATATTTTTGATAATTTTTATACAATTATTATATGTTATTAACTGAGTAGATATAATTAATATCATGGGTTCGAAATGAATAAAAAAATCAATTATTTAAATGACATATAAAGTTATATTAAAATATGATTAAAAAAATTATCTATGAATTATTTTTCTTTTTTTAGACAAAACCTCATGTTAAGCGCTTGAACTAATCCAATACTCTCAATTGAGCCCTTAAACTTTTTTTAAAGCATATAAGCCCTTGAACTCTACGATCTATGCAATTTTGCCCCCTTGTTAATGGCAAACTACAAAGATGCGGCAAAAAAAAGACAACAAGGGATAAAATTGCACAGATTGTGGGTTTCAAAGGTTTATCTACTTTTAAAAAAGGTCTAGGGACTCAATTAAGAATATGAGCTTAGTTCAAGGGCTTAACGTATAGTTTTTGAAGTAGTAGTAAGGATGCAATTGAATTGATTGTGATCAGTTTACCCATCAAACTTAGGTGCAAGGAATTTTCTTCATTAAAATGTAATTGACGAACCATATGCAAAATTATAAAGAAATTAGGAAAGAGATTTCTAGTCATCCATTATACGTTGATTTTTCCATGTTACTTTCTTATTTTGAAATTTCTATAACTATCGCTTTTATAAACTGTTGTTTTGTCTAAAAATTGGTTCCTACTTTGATTTGAAATTCTTCCACTCCATTATATATTGGCATATACATACATCATATTTATTACATGTCAATTTCCATATGTAGTTGACAAATGTGGTCAAGAAAGAAAATGTAACCAAGGAAACTTGTAAGCAATTGCGGGAGAGTGATGAACAGAGAGGGTTGAAAAACTCTTTTGAGTTATGTTTGGCTTCTTTATAAACGTTCTAATACATCAATTTTACTACTTTTTGGAACAAATAATTCCACTGAATGTATCACTTTCTCCAAACTTTGGTTTCCATTTCTTGCCCCCCTCGGAAATATACGGTAAGTTAACTTTCTTTATTCTTTTTCAATTTCTATTGAAGTTTAAAAAGAAAGTTTCTTAAAAACTCTTGAAGGTTTCAATTTGTTAGAATCTAACAGGGGTTTCTAGTACAAACAAAGGACAGCAAATTATCAAGACTTCTTTTTTGTTTTTTTTTTTTAATAATAAGACTTTTAAAAAAAAAATTTAAATTGCACAATGAAAAATAACTTTTTCTCACGTTTTAATTTACCACATCCATATATTACGTAACTAAAACTCAATTTCTTACGTTTATTTAAAAGAAATTTTTACTGAGTTATTTAGCCTACTAGAAATATTACTATGATTTTTAATTCAAATTATTAGTCGATAATTTTTTCCTTTTTTCAAAAAAAAGACTTAATTGCTTGTTATCACGTCTTATGGGGTGTTATTTCATTAAAAAAATAATAATTGAAGGA